GAATGAGACAGGAAGAAAATTCTTGGTGCTATTTCCTAAATGTTGGTAGGTTTACACACACACACACACACACACACACACACACACACACACACACACACGCGCGCACGCACTGTTGAAGAGAGGGCTCCTCTGTGGCTCACCCAACTAACAACCCCTCCACTTACTTACCCCACTGCCTAAAGAGTCTGTAGCTGTTGAGAATTCTCTTCTGGATGAGATGTGGGTGTTTGTTCAAATATCCACAGTGAGTCTTGTTTTTCCTAAGGTTCACCCCAATCCCTCACCTTCTCAACCTAGGATCCCCTCCAAAGCACACTACTTCTGACTCTGTGACAGCGAGGGGAATCTGCTCCACCTTCAGAGTGGTGCCAAAGGCTGCAGGGGAAAGAACACTCCGGAAGTAAATAATGGTAAACAGTTACAAGCCAGGTTTTCTGAAAAATTGCTTGGCTCCCATCATTTTGTCCCCTACTTCTCCAGCCTGCTCCATCCCCCAGAAGGTCCTGCTACCAGTAGGGAGTCTGAGCCTGAGAACCTTAGCCCTGCTGCCCTGGGAAACAGGGGGAAAGCCACCTCACTGCTGATTGCCTTCACTTGCACCTCCCCTACTCCCAAACAACCCTCTCACTCCCTGGTTGCAACCACACAGAGGCCACAGTTACCTACCCAGGCTAGGAACAAAGCCCACGTGTTGGGACTTGGATGGTAGGGCTTGTGCCACCACAGTCCTGATGTTGCCGGCCCATGTGTTTGCCAGAACCTCATGCCCTGGTCGTGTCCTCAGGCCTACTGTGATCGCACACAGTAGGGCATTCATTCGGACAAATGAAGCGAGTGTATTTGTTTTCCACATAGGCACACTTCATACATGTGTATGTGTATGTGTAGACACCTGTATATGTGCCATGTTCTCTTGTGTATTGATAAGACCATGACTGAGGAACTGAGGGCTTCGCTTCCTGCTTGTTGTTTTTCTCAGGAAGACCCTTTCTATCTCGGGAATCTTTTCCCCACATACAAAGCAACCCTTTTTTATTTGAGTATTCCTGAGGACCACTCCAAAACTGGTGCTTTATTAAAAGACAGAATGTTTGGGCAAGTGTGCCGAGCTAGGTTACCAGAGCCTCCCACTACCCCTCTCTTTATCTTATTTTTGCTTATTTTATTATGAGGCAGCATATGACTGTGTAATTTCCATCAGCCTGGAACTCACTTTGTAGACCAGGTTGGCCTTGAACTCACAGAGATCCTTCTGCCTCTCTGTGTCTTGTGAGTGCTGTGATTAAAAGTGTGCACTACTGTGGGCAAGCCCTCTTTTCATAAATCGTCAGGCTAAGGAGTCTTCCTAGCTGAGCTGAGACATGGGGGGGGGGAGCTGAAACCCCCAGTACTCAAGAGGGACAGGGACAGTGCTCTAACTCAGGGTGGGGGTGGGGATGGGGGAGAGGAGGGAACCAATATGGTCTTCAATATGAACACAGTGTTGTGTTCAGCTTAAACAAGACCAGGCTGCGCAGCAAAGGGGAGGTGCTGCTGGCAGTGTGGCCTTCCTGCGTGTCTGCCTGTCTTGTCCCAGTTTCATATAGGAGAGCAAATCACATCATGACTACTGCCAGAGGAATGGCCTGTCTAGGGCATACAAAGAACCAGCCAAGCTGGCCACTGAGCACATCCAGGGCCACCCCAGAGAAGGCCCAGCTCCAGGACAGGCCTTCTTCTGGTGCCTCTAGCTCAGAGCAGCCAGCGCTCACCCCTGCCTCAGCGCTTTGGGCTCGCTGAGAGCTATGGGGAAAGGGAACTGTTCTGAGGTCCAGAATGGCTTCCCAGATGGCTTCATTCCTGGTGACTGATGGGGCTATGGCAGCTAGAGCCACCCCTCTATACCCTGGGTGGCCCCATTTAGGGGGCCTATAAGCCAAGCACCTGCGTGTACCCACAAACACCAAATAATGATTGTCAGTTGGAGCCTTTATACCCAAAGCACCCCCCAAGCCTAAATAAATATAAGCACAACACACAAGTCAAAACGCCCAAACATAACGAGTCTGTAGCAGATACACGTGCACACACAGACAGACCTGCACACGCAAAAGCCTTCTGCCTCCATGCAGCGTCTCCCTGCCTCTCCATCCTCTCCCTTTCTGCTGCTTCTCCCCCTCCCCCAAGGAAAAGGACTTTTCAGGGAAAGAAACAGAGACCTTTGCCCTCAAAAAGAGCTCGAGATCGATATTGTTTAGACTCCTGTAGCTTGTATTTCCTTCCAGTCTGAGGAAGATTTAAGTATATGGTTCAATCCAATCTTTAAGGGAGGGGGAGGAAGGGAGAAGATGAGGAAGTTGGGATGGTGTGCTCAGTTCAAGTATTTATCTCGATGTGGCCCCACTCTTTAACACACAGGCAGCTCGCCAAGCAAGCCCCATAAATCAGAGAAATCAATGCCTATTTATGATCATTATTACTCTCTCCTTCTCTCTTTTTAAAAGAAGGGGTGCCAGAATGAGGTCTGACCAGAGCCCTCCTCCCCTTTCCCGGAAGAATGAAAATCAGAAAGGGGAGGGAGAGAGGAGTGGGAGGTCAGTCCTGACCTTGACTACAAGGCTGTATCTTTGAAGTGTGGGCCACAAAAAAAAAAAAAAAAAAAAAAAAAAAAAAAAAAACACGCAGGCACAGAGGACCACAAGCTTCGAAGTTCTCAGAGCCCGGTTTCTCCCGCTGAACAATGAAGAAATCTCTATTTGCCCACGTGATTAGGAGATAAAGGGAAATAATGGGTAAGAAATCAAATTACATCACAATACCGCTCCCCCTAGACACTTCGCCAACACACCCAGGAGGTGGAAGAGTGGCCTCTTCTGTCCCTCATCATAAAGGGGTGGAGATCTCTTGTCTTTTCCTTTTTGTACTGGGGCCTTCGGGAATGGGACACTTCCTGGAGCTACTTCTGCCGCTGCCCCTGTCCTAGCTCCTGAAAGAGGTGGCCTCCAGTGCAGTAAGGGACCATGGTGGGGAAAGGAGGAGGCAGAAAAGTCCAATATGTAGCATTTCAAATGGCAAGGTTCCCTACGGAATTCAGCATCACATCCCCAAGTGCTTCAGGAGGAGATGGGGCCCAGAGTCTGAGCTGGCTGGCATTCCTGACATGACTTCTTCACCTGAAGGACCTATGGATGCCAAGCTCCCTAAAAGGAAGGAAAACAGATGCTGGGAGCTGCCAGATAAGAGCGAATCTCCCAGCTTCAACTCTGTGCACAGAGAGCAGCTGAACATCATTGTGTATGGATGACACCCCCCCCAACAATAGTAACATATAGGGACCCACAGAAATGTCTAATGGTCTTCCCACTCCTCTCAAGGCCACCAAATTCCAAGATCCTAAGTCCTGTGCAGAAACTTGCTTGGGCCTCTTGGCATGCTGGGGTGTAGTTCTCTGGCCAGGAGTGGGATCGTTGGTCCTAATTAGGGGGACTTTTTCAAGGAAAATGTGGGATAACTGGGCCATTCTCATTTCTTCCTAAACCAATGCTGAAAAATAAGAGCACCAGGAAATAAACTCTAGAGAAAAGCACAGAGTAGAGGGTCCCCATATTTGCCTAAACCCTGAGTGTACTAGGCAAGCATTCTGACCTGCAAGCACAGATAAAGGCTTGCTTGCACAGGCACCATGAGCTTGCAAATGCCCAACCACGCATCTGACCCGGAGTAACAGTCACTCGGTTGCACAATACAAACACAGGCAGAAGACACACAAAATGGGTGGGAACTGAGACTCACCACCAGGTGTATGTTATCACACACGCACACAGATATGTATGGACACCTATCCAGCATATTTATCTACATACATATACACAATTGCACATGTGTTGCATTCATTTGCATCTAGGAAAAAAAGAGGAAGGTGGAATTCATAATTTATGAAACCCTAAACAAAAGAGAGACGGTAGCCTTTAAGTGGGCTCTTCGTCTCTCTCCTACCACCTAGCCTTTGAAAGCTTCACCCAGTGCCTGTCCAGGAGGGTCGGTCCCAGCGTCACTGACAATTATCCCCAGTGTTCTCTGGGCTGTCCAGGTGTCCAGCTTGTTCTAAGGTCTTTGGTGTGGAATCGCCTCTCCTTGTAATGAGGAAATTGGCAAGGCTTTGTTGGATTTGGGGAAGCGATCTCCATCCTCAGGTTTCCCGTCAGGGAGCCAGGGAGCTGTCGAACTGTGGTGGTCTGGGGGCTTCCAGACCTAGAACATCATCACAAGCCACACTTTTCTAGCATTCAGGCCTTCGCTTTGCAGTACTGAGACCCTTGCCCAGTGCATCCCATCAGAGCAACCATCTGCCAAGGGGAGTGCCAAGCACAAAGGAAGAGGTGAAGTCCAGGCTGCAGAGACTTTGGGCAACTCAGCAGACAGCCTGCCACCATTGCAGGCCCTGGTAAGGCCACTAGCCTTTGGAGAAGAAAAACCCTCCAGTCAAACTCCCACCAAAAAGGAAAAAAAAAGGGAGGGGGAAAAAGAAAGGAAGAGTAAGGGTGTAGTTTGGTGCATGGAAGCAGGCTGAACAGGAGGACTCAATTGGCTGAGCCTGCACAAGCTAAGCAAGCCAAAGGGAGCCAGCTGGAACTGTAGGGGGTGGGGTACAGAAGTGTAGGATTGGCCTTTTTGGCTTTTGAGTGCCCTAGAACGCATCCAGGAACCAGAGTATGCTCCAGACCAAGGCCATGGCAAATCTGTGCAAGACACTCTGGCATTTGTTGAGTGGTGATGCTTCTGGCCTACCCTGATAGTCCCAGAGCTCTGCACCCACCCTGTGTAGTCAGAATGGTAGCCACACAGTTCCTAGACAGGCTCTTCCTCCACCCAACAAAAGAAGAGGGCAGTCAGCAACTCGTGAACACAGTGAACATTTTATTTCAGACTACAGGTTTCTGAACATAATAAAATCTTTGGCTTGTAGCGGCGGTTCAGTCTCGCAGTCTGTGGGGTTGTATTTCTCAAGGAGTCTCCAGAAAAGGAAATGGGTTTAGGAGGACAGACAAGACCAGTGAAAGAATCCTGGGTGGGTAGAGGAGAGGTGAAGGGCAGACACACAAGGAGACACACTCACACGCACACAAAGAAAAGTCCCAGAGAAACCAGGGCCAGCGTTGGGGGACGGGAGGTACCCAGAGAAGCAAAAACATTCAAAAGATAAAAGCAACGAAAACGAAACTGGGCTGGGGGCAGCAAGTGGGGATAGGGGATAAAATAATTATAATAATTATAATAATTATAACAATAATAATAAATGAGATTAATAAAAATGTCCAGCAAATAGAGATCGCTACACATATTTGTTTTCCTTACCTGAAATTAAATATATACACGGTCGTAAGCAGTTTGGCTAGATAGAGCTTTAAGGAATTCGCAGTTTCGTCTTATACTGTGAGTTAGAGAATAGATCTTTTTTCCCCCATAGCACCTGTCCGAGTTTTTCTCCCGTTTCAAAATCCGTTCCATTCCAATGTGAATGTCCACTCGGAGGATTGCTTTCTCTCGCTTGCTTTCTCTTTCTTTCCGGTTAATGGTTGATGTTTCCCTTCTTAGCGATCGTCTCTGCCTGGCGGCGTGGGGCTGGTGAAGCGGCAGCCCCGCGGAGCCAGGAGGTGGCACGGGCGCGGTTGGACCGCGGGCCCCGGGCTGGCCACAACTACTCGCTTTCGTCTTTGTCCTGGACCGTGGTGGTAGAATGGTTGTACAGTCCTTGGGCCATAAGGTGCAGCGCCAGGCCATTCTTGATACCCGTGGCTTTCTTGATCTTAGCACGCTTGTTTTGGAACCAGATCTTGATCTGGGACTCGTTCAGGCTGAGCTCCTGGGCCAAGGTCTGTCGCCGCTGCTCCGTGATGTAGCGGTTTGCCTGGAACTCCGCCTTGAGTCTCTGCAGCTGCTCGGCCGTGAACGCCGTCCGAGGCCGCTTGTCTTCCTTCTCGTTCTTTTTCTTCTTTAGCTTCCTGGTGCGTGGACCTGCAGCGGGGCAGACAGGGCCGGGGAGGGGAGGAAGGGGGTCGGGAGCAGAGGGAGGAGGAGAGGGCAGAGTAAGCCTTGAGAATGGCGGTACGGAGCCCAACATAGGGGTCGCGAGCTTCCAGAGAGATTGTGGAGGCCGCTGCTAGGTCCCACTACCTCCATCGAAGAGCCGCTCTCTAAGCAATTGAGATCTCTAGGCCCCTCTGCATGAGGGATTCAGAAGTCAAAGAGGAATTGCAGGGGGCACCCCACATCCCAGCTCAAGAGAGCTACCAGACTTAGCTCCAAGAACTTCCCAGCCAAGAAGGCCTGAAAAAAAGTGGGATGGGGGAAGGAACACAAGAGAGAGTGAGCTTTGGGGGTCCCAACCAGAATAACCTAGACTTAAAGGTCTCTGAACAGAAATGTCTTCCTAGCCCTGGAATAAAATGCAGCAGAGAAGGCAGGCCTTGGGGAGAATGACTGGTCTGCTTTGGTTCCTTCCCACTGTATTCTCAGGAACACACACACACACACACACACACACACACACACACACACACGACTATGCAAAGCCCCCATCTGATTCTCACCTCTCACCACGGACCTCAGAGAGGACTGGGAATCTGAGCTCACCCAACTCCAGTCAATCTGGAGGCCTTCCGCCTTCTTTCCTTTCTGTTTGACTCAAAGGAAGCTCCTTCTGGAAGGGGGCTTGACACTGCCTGCCATTTCCTTAATGGAGCTGCCGCCTCTAGTCTATGAGCTTAAGCCCTGGGACATTTTATTATGTCCTAAGAAGACATGGCTTCTTAGTTGATGCCAAGAGGAAAAGAAGGACCCTTCTGATCCCTGCACATAGGGCAGATGGGGCTGGGGAGGGGAGAAAGGCCTGTTATCTCTCTTCTGAATTTGCTTGCTCCAATTTCGGGGTGCAAATGATTGGGATGACCCTTGTCGTCCCCACCTGTAGGCAAAACAAGGACCAAAAGGGGGTGGTGAAGGGACAATCACAGTGGGGACCTGTACTATCACTCCGAGATGACTGAGATGATCCTGTATAGGAAGGAAGGCCTTAAGGACATGCTCCAAGAAGAGGAAGTCCTCAAATGCTAATGTGTAAGGCTGCTGTGAGGTCCAGCCCAGGAGAGAGGCAGGGAGAACAAGGGATAGAAAGCTAAGCTGCTGGATGGTGTCTGTATGGCTGAAGCCTGCATCTTGGCCGTCTGGTTGGGATGCTGGCATTGAACTCTTGGCCTCAGTGATTGCCATGGAGGCCTACAGATTCAAGTGAGGTTACTGCCAAGACCCTTAATACCTAGAACTTTCTGAAAAGAGGCTCTTTGCATTGTCAAACCTAGTGACCGCTGGACACACTGGGCTCCTGGGTCCTGCAGAGGACAAGCACCTAGTGTCACTAGCTGTTTGTCAAGAGGTGCCCAGGACTAACTGATTGTAGGAAGAATGTCAACCCGGCGAACTGCCTTTGGAATAAAAATATCTGATTGCTGCCTTCTCTGGCATATAAAAAGGAAAGGAGAAACGAACAAAGACAAGGCCTGCTCCTGAGCGGGACGGGGCTTTTAGGTGAACCGAGCAGCCAGAGACTGCCCAAAAAATGTACGCATCCTCCAGGAGACTCCGCTGCGGGAGGTGCGTCCGGAGCATGTTGTAGTGTTGTTGTTGTGTGCGCGTGTGTGCAGAGGCACGGACACTTGTAATAAAATCGTAGCCTCCTGGCCGGCCCGACCCACTCAGCCTGACAGCTCAATCACTCTATCCATCAGGCGAGTCAATCAAAGCAGCTTTTCGGAGGTTCAGGGAGCCCGACGTGTCAATAACGGGGCTCGAGATGGCGGGGGCTGATAGCACGCATCGATCTGCACCGGGCCCGAAGCAGCACGGCGGCAGGAGACCAACAAGCGGAGAGGTGCCGGTGGCTACCTTTTGCCCGGCCCCCTGGCGGGCTCAATGATGACGGTGGACCCAAGCCTCCGTTGCTTTCCTCGTGGCCTGCGTTGCCCCTTGTCCCCTGCAAGGGGTAGCAGGCCTGAGCCTCCTCTTCCAGGGCCCAGCAGCTTTCCGTGGGTAGGTCTTAAACTTTCCTGTGCTCTAGCACACGAAAAGAAAGCAGAAAATTGCCCTAAGACTGGTAGATAGCCACTAAGGGGCAGATTTGTGAGGACAGAGTGAAAGAAAAAAGACGCGGCCAAAGGGACAGGGGAACCCTGCTAAGAAAACGCTGATTTTCTTGTCCATAGCCCAGCATTCAAGTCTGACCCAGGCTTGCTTCCCTCACCCTAGGCCAGCCAGTTCCAGCGAGCAGTGGGTGCTCACCTTTTTGGCTACACCCTTACTCTACATTCTACCCACACGGGTTGACTAGCCATACCCGGGCTGGGCGCAGAGGATGGAGCTTCTCTCTCTCTCTCTCTCTCTCTCTCTCTCTCTCTCTCTCTCTCTCTCTCTCTCTCTCCTCTCCCACTGTACACTGTATCTGTCTTTATGTAAAAAGAATCGCCACAGAATAATATCCATAGTGTTTGTTATGAACATAAGGCAAAGATTATTCCTCTGGTCTATTTTCCCATGCCAAAGCCGGCCCCAAGAGGACTAAGGTGGTAGATTGCAGATTCAAGCCACCAGGCCTATCTTTCCGCCAGTTCAAAATACCCTTTCCCTAAAAATTAAATCAATGAGTAATTATATACCTCTCTAAAAGATAATGAGCATAAAACATAAAAAACCGATCTCAAGACTCAGAGTTCGGAAAACCAAAAAACAGAAACTGGAGCCTCCTGGTCTTGCCAATAGCTAGCTGTAACTTCCCGAGTGGTGGAAAAGGCCAGCAGGGCAGAACTGAGCCTATGTGACTGTGGCTACGACCTGGGGAAGTGGAAGTCAGACGTGAAGTGGGAGCGGTTCAAAATGGGTTTGCTCTCCCCAGAAAGGGGGTTGGAGTTCTGGGGCAGGCCCCCCGGCCAGAGGCATGGTCACTTTACGGCTTGGGTACTCACCAGAAGACGGACGGTCCGAGTAGCGTGTGCAGTAGACCCAGGCGGGCCAAACTAGGGGCTGTTGCGAGTCAGTCTTGACCACCGGCCCACCGTTAGCGGAGCCCATGAGTAGGATCGCCGGGTTGTGTTCCGGGAACTTGGCGCCCTGCGCCCCGGGACTCCCTACGCTGCCTCCACTGCCGCCGCTGCTGTCCGAAGGCTTCGAAGCTGCTGCCGCCGCCGCCGCCACCGCCGCTGCAGCCGCCGCCGCCGCCGCCGCAGCAGCAGCCGGGTTACCGGTTTTGGATGCTCCCGCGCTGACGGCGGTCGCGGGCTGGGAGCCGTCGGGCGGGCCACAGTTCGCATCTGGGGCGCATAAGAGCGAGGCAGCGCCCGAAGCTCGCGTGCCCAGCGAGTGGACAGGGTCTCTACCTGCACCAGTCTGGCCTCGGTCACGCTCCACGCGGCTTCCTCCTCCTCCGGAACCTCCTCCGGCTGCAGCTGCCGCCACCAGGAGCTGAGGCAGGGGCTGTTCCTTTTTGCAACCGAAATCGGGCCTTAGGATGTTATCGATGAAAAAGTTGGTGGTGCGGTGCAGCTGGGCCGCGGGCTGTGGCTGGTGAGGAGGCGCCGCGAGATGCTGCGGTGGAGGCGGCGGTGGCGGCGGCGGCGGGGGCGGGGGGCGGGGCGGGGGGTGCGGGGGGAGGTGCGGGTGATGGGCTAGGGGCGGCAGGCAGGGCGCCGCCGGCGGCGACGGGGGCGCGGGCTGCGGGGACACCGGCACGCTGTCTCCATCGCTGCCGCTGCTGCCGCTGGCTCCTGGGCTAAGATTCAGGCTGAGGCCGCCCGGGGCCGCCACCGCCACTACCGCCGCCGCTGCCGCCACCGCGCCGAGGCCCGAGTCGCGCTGACTTTTAGGCTCCGGCTGCTGTTCTTCCATGCTCGGCCGCCCGGCAGCCCTGGCCGCCGCGCCGGCCCCCGCCCCCCGCGCCTCGCTCCCCACCCCACTTTGCCAGCGGGCCCGTGGGGGTGCGCGGAGAGGAAGGAGGCTAGGCGAAGCCTCGGCGGAGGCACAGGGCGGGTGCAGGAGGAAAAAAAGAAAGCCGGGCGTCTGGCCTGGCTCTCGCCCGCTCTGGTGGAGCAGATCTCGCTCTCTCCCTCTTTCTAATTTGTAGACATCCAGATACGGAGAAGACACTCGCTATTTTTTTCTTTCTTTTCTTTCTTTCTTTTTTTCTTTCAGCAACCAGATTTCAGTGATTGGTCTTAGTGGGGGAGTAAACCACAACCCAAAAAGGGGGGGAGAAAAGAAAAAAAGAAGAAAAAAATGAATTTTTTTAAAGCTCCAAGAATTTTTTTCTTAAAGGGAAAAAATAGTCTTTAAAGTCTACCCATCTTCCTAGGCAGTAGTGAGGGGTTTGACTTCCCCAGTGTCATGCTCAGCTGTGCCCAGAGCGCGAGGCTGGCAGCGCCTTTAATCGCCTTTGCTTTTTTGCAGGGAGAGTGCGTCTCCGCCAGTGCCAGGCTCCTTTTTTTCCCCCCTGAAACCTCTGACAGCTCGGATCTTTGCACAAACTCTCTCGCTTAAAAAAAAAAAAATCACCCAGGCACACTTTTTGCCTTCAAACCGGAAGCACGTGAGTCAGGGCCGCACGTGTGCGGGACCAATGGCGAGCCGCGACTCGCGCTGACACTCAGGGCTCGGCCCAATGGGTGCGTGCGGGACTTTGCGGATAAATAATCCGGGGGCGGCGGCCGTGGGTGGAGAGGGGGTGCAGAGGCTCAGGCCCGGTACGTCCTCCCGCCCTGCCCCCATCTGTGCCCACTCCCCTCCCCCTCCTTCGATCCGGACTGGAGAGGGCACGAAGAGAACTAGAATTTGGAATTTAGGCAGATGGGAGAAGCAACTCCACAACTTGTTGGAGAAATACAGGACTGTGGGTTCGTGAGCGCTGGGGACAGCGACAGGCGGCAGGGGTTTGGGTTACTAGGCACCCCTGCCCCCCACCCGCACACTCCCGAAACATTTAGCTCATATTCATTCTCTCTCTCTCTCTCTCTCTCTCTCTCTCTCTCTCTCTCTCTCTCTCTCTCTCTCTCTCTGTAGGAATGAAACCAATATCGGGCATGAGAAAAAGACTTAGGGTTGGCTACTTCAGAGACTCAGTTTGTTTCCCACTAATGGCAAGCCTAAGAGGCCTGCTACACCTTACTGGCACTGGTGCTCTGTGTCACTGACTAGCCACACTGTTTCCGAAGAGATCTGCAACCGTGCCCTTCTCCGGATCATCACCGCCCACAAGCTGCTTGGACGCCGTGGAGCCCTGCCCAGAGGCCACGGAAGAGCCCCAGCTCCTGCTACCCCTTCCTTCCTTGGCTGCTGAGGATTCGGGCTGTCATAGCCCGATAGAATTGTCTCAAGAGAGCCCCAGAGCTGGGCTAAGTGTTGTGCCGCCATACCAAGGCCTGGCTGGGTTCGGGTTTCAAGTTAAAGGAAATTTCTGTGTTAGATTTTCCTGCAAAGTAAAAATCAAACCAACAAAACCGCTTCAAATGTTTGCCTTGACAGGCTGAAGATGTGGACAACGGGTTACCCCAATTCTAGGATAGCTGAATTTGACTTGGGGTGGAGCCCCCAAATATTCTCAATACTCCCACGCTCCTATATTCTGGGCTTTTCCTCTTTTTCCTAGAGGAAGTGCCTCAAAAATTTTCCATAACCAAGTGAAGGGTAGTACTAGGCGCGCGGTGCGGGTGGGGGGCGATCTGCCTAGGAGTTGTTTTAGAGGGTCACCTGCGAATAGGCTGCTGAAGCTTTGGTCCAAGAAAGGGGATTTGAGCCCTCTGAAAAGGAGACCTTCCCCACGCACTCTTCCCTGATCGCCACCCCCAAATGGAATAGTTACTATCTCTTTTTAAAACTCCTGGTTAAAAAAAAATCCACAGAAGCTAGGTTGGAAAGAATATACAACCAAACCCACAAGTCTAACCGGGGCACTGAAGCGAAGTTTGTCCCGGAGACAGGAGGAATTTGTATTACTGGCTGCATCTTAGCTCAGCCAAGGATCTCCCGATTTCCCGGACTGAGTTTCCAAAAAGCACTATGCTGGGGCCTGACGGCAAGAATCTCTCCAGAGTGCATTTCTGGGGCCACCGCGGTCTCCCGAACTTTCTGAAGCCACTCCAGATCCACTGTACTGTCTCGTGGGTTCCCTTCTGTTTCTAACCCAAGGGCTCCCCGAAACCTCCAGTTGCCCTCTCTCTTTGCCCCCGAAATAGAGGTGGGATTTTTATTTATATTTAAGTTCGCAAAATTGAAATCTTTATCCCGCAAGCGACCGTGGGTACTTAATTAAATTCTAATTAGGACACTATCAATATCCTATTTAGCCGCGTAGCTTTTGTGCGCCGCGGTCCCTTTCAGCGCCGTAAATAGGGTCTCGACGCCTTATCTCGCCTGCAGGAGACGCCGTGAGAAGGGCTGCGGAAGATAATTTATAGGTTTTAATTACTCTTCATTCCGCCTGATCAGCTTGGCGTTCATCACAGGCCTGTGAATAAAACCCTGGTCAAAAGCTCTGTCACATAGCGCTGGCAAGACGTTTAATCAAAGTGAGCGGCCCCGCGCGCCGCGCGGCCCGGTCCTGTACGTAATTTCCAGCCAGCTGATAAAGCCAGCTGAATAATGCGGCGGCCCTTTGGAGACACCATTTACAGAAATGACTTTATTGACGGCTTAACGTCGGTAATTCATTTTACCTTTCATGTAGTAGAGCTCGGATTTGTTACAGTAATAGGATGATAAATGCATCCGCGGCCCACGAGCTCCGGCTGGATTAGGCGGTGCTCCTCTGCAGCGCGCTGGCTTGTACCCCCCCACTCCATCCCCCAGACCCAGCCCCGGACGGACGCACCTTTAGACTTGTCGCCCGAGCTCCACGACCCCCACCCAGGCTCCACGCCTTTCTCTCCCTTCTAAAACCGAACATACTGTTGGGAACTATATGTGCCTGTGCTGACGTCCTTGGCACGAGCTGTGTGCAGGCTGAGTGAGCAAATATTGGCTGAGACACTTGTGTGAGGGGTCCACAGAACTCCAAGCCCTGGGCTGGCATGTGGGTGAGGAGCCACAGCAGGGGCTGGGTGAGTGGTGAGTGTTCTAGTATCTGGGTAAAGGGGATTGGTGTCTGTGTGCAGGGGTGCATGCCGGTGTGACTACGTTGGAGTCTTCATGTTTTTTCAAGATACCCTCCTCTGCTTTTGGTAGTTAAGGGGTCTTGCCACTGGATAGATGCCCAGGCCAGGAGGGCAGACAGGTAAGGCAGCAGGAAGCAAGTGTGGGAACTGGCCCGGAATGGCAACACCCCCCCCCTTTCTACAAATGCCACCAGCTCTTGAATCCCAAATATAGGAACTGGTAGAGACCAGTATGTACTTCCGTTGCTTTGCACTTTTAAGTTGCGTTGTTACCTCTGCAGGAGGGCTATGGACTGGGCATTATTCCCTCAATAAAATGACTGTCCCCATTGCCATCTTTTCGTATCCAGCCTAGTGAACTTAGAGGAAAAAAATACAACAAAGAAAAAGAGTTTATTTAGTTCCAAAGGCCAAAGGGTATGGGAGTGTACGGCAGCTCTCCTATCCCAAAAGCAGTCTCTTGGGCTGGGACCCACGGTGCGCGGGATAAAGAGACCCCAAGGCCCCACCCGTCTCCAGTTCCTTAGCTTCCTCAGTTCCTTGAGGCTCAACTGTGACTTCCGTGCAAAAGGCATCTGTTCAGAGGGAAGAGTGCTTATGTGCTGGAGGAAAGGGAGGGCTGCGGGAAGTTTGCGATCAGACAAAGAGAAAACATTGAGTTTTTTAAGGGTGAAAACTAAGAAAGTTTATTTCCTCTCCTTCAAATCTAGTAAACAACAACGAAACATTTAACTCCTTGTCTGTTCCCCCATGTAGGTGAGAGCTACTCACGGGGAAACCCAGCCTACAAAAGCAGGGCTGGTCTGTTGGTGTATAACTGCACGGGGGACTGGAGGCCTTCAAATGACTTGGGACCAAGTCAGCTCCACTGATGCCTGCCGAGAAGCATGCTTGCTGAGCGTTTGCTGTGAGACATTTCAGAAGAAGATACTGTCATTTGGGGGTTTCTGAAGAGTTTTGGATTTTGTTAGGGTAGAGACAACCTGAGGGTTCCTTCCAGTTCCCACCTTAAAGCGGTGTGTGTGTGTGTGTGTGTGTGTGTGTGTGTGTGTGTGTGTGTTGAGGGGGGTGGAAATATGAAAGCCAACCTCTTCGTTCAATGGGCCTGCAGTAGGTGGTGTTGCCTGCACACGGTGGTAATCCCATTTCCAGTGTAGATCAGATGGCGGTGGGGCCTCTTGGTGCGGGACATGAATGAGTTGTCCCAACACAATAGCGTGCAGCCTTCCTACGGGGACTGGGTGACCAGCGGTTTTGTTGGGAGTGAATGCGAGGAGATTTCTGCTACAAGTGCGGGTATTATCATGAGCCAGAAGGTCAGACTATACATTGCAGGTCCCCAAAGCCTATAGACCTTGGGTGATTGTACCTGCCAGTCTTTTCAATAGACTAATTCAATTAGTGCTGGGGCTTCGGTCTTCATTTGGAGGGAATAACATTATGGGGGTGGGTGGGTGCTGGAGGGGGATTCCTTGGGTATTGGTTCAGGATCTTCGAGAATTTTGTTAGAAGCAGGGAATGGTACAGGGATGGGGGAAAGTCAGGGGGTTGGGTGTAGGCTTTGGTGCCAAACCTCACAAAACTACATCTTTCAGCTGGTCCCCAAACTGAGAGTGGCAGTTTTTGTTTGTAAGTCTCAGGAAAGTCCTGGGTGTGGGAAGGGCTTCAAGGTAATGATTTCTTTTTCTTTTGCCACCTCTGTGCATAACCCACCCCCATCTGTGTTCCTAGAAATCCCAAGAA